CATGTCCGCGAAGTCTTGTCCCGCCTCCAACAGCATGGGTTGTACGCCAAACCAGAGAAGTGCGAATTCAACCGCGAATCCGTTGAGTTCCTAGGCTTCATCATCTCCAAGAAAGGCATCCAGATGGACCCCAAGAAGATCGCTGCCATCACGGATTGGGAACCTCCCAAGACTGTCAAAGGCGTCCAGCGGTTCCTCGGCTTTGCCAACTTCTATCGCCGATTCATCCAAGGTTATTCCAAGATCGCTACCCCGCTCACAGCCCTGACCCGGAAAGACATCCCGTACGCCTGGACACCCGCCGCAAACACCGCCTTCGAGAACCTGAAGAAAGCATTCACCACCGCCCCCATCCTTGCTCACCCTGACCCAGAGAAGCCCTTCGTCGTCGAAACTGACGCCTCCGACTTCGCTCTTGGCGCAGTTCTCCTCCAACCTGACCAGGACAATCAGCTGCCACCCCGTGGCCTTCCACTCTCGCAAATTCACGGCCGAAGAGATCAACTACGAGATCTACTGACAAGGAACTTCTGGCCATCCAAGACTCCTTTGCCCAGTGGCGACACCATCTCATTGGCGCCCGTCACAAGATCACCGTTTACTCCGACCATAAAAACCTTCAGTACTTCATGACCACCCGCACCCTGAACCGCCGCCGAGCCCGCTGGTCGATATTCTTCTCGGATTTTGACTTTGTCATTACCTATCGCCCCGGTTCCCAGCAGCACCAAGCCGATGCCCTCTCCCGACGCTCCGAACATGAGCTAAAAAAGGGGGAAGAAGCGTTCCGCTCCCAGGCAACCACAATTTTGACTCCCGAACGCCTTCGACTCGCCGCGGCCTACCTCACACCCATGGATACCACGCTGCTTGACAAGATTAAGGCCGCCCAGGCCTCTGATCCCCTCGCTAAGACCATTCGCGAAAAGCTCAAGATACCCCTCGCCCAACGAACCGAGGAAACCCAAGATCGTATCAAGCGGTTCTCAGATGAAGATGGGATCCTGCTGCACGATAACCTGGTCTATGTCCCCACCAACGAGCTCCGAGCTGAAGTCTGCCACGACATGCACGATACACCCCTAGCCGGCCACTTTGGGATGTCCAAGGCGCTCGAACTCGCCTCCCGCAACTACTGGTGGCCCGGCCAGTGGCGCTTCGTCAAGGCCTACGTCAAGTCCTGCGATACCTGTAGCCAAGCGAAATCCAGTCGACACAAACCGTACGGCCTACTCCAGCCCAACAGTATCCCTACCCGCCCTTGGGGATCTTGGTCCCTGGACTTCATCACCGGTCTGCCTCCCGTTGATGGGTACAACTCCATCCTGAACGTCAACTGTCGCCTCACCAAGATGGCCCACTTCATTGCCTGCAGCGAGTCAGAATCCGCCGAGTCCACCGCCGACCTAGTCTTCCACAATATCATCCGTCTCCATGGCCTCCCTGACAACATCATCTCTGACCGAGGCCCCCAATTCAACTCCCGCTTCTGGCGCCGACTCCTCGAACTCCTTGGGAACGGAAGCCAGCCTCTCCTCCGCTTTCCACCCCCAGAGCAACGGCCAGACGGAACGCACCAATCAGATCCTGGAGCAGTATCTCCGATGCTTTTGCAACCACCAACAGGACAACTGGAAACGGCTTCTGTCGTCCGCCGAGTTCGCCTACAACAACACCCACCAGTCCGCCTCCCAGACCATCCCTCTTCTACGCCAACAAGGGTCTCCATCCCCGCTTCAGCTTCGCTGCCTCTGCTACCTGCCGAATCCGTCAACCCCGCCTGCTGAAGCCCCGCCTAAACAAATCAGTGAAGTCCATGAACAGCTCGTCCTTGAGCTCAAGGAAGCGCAAGATCGAATGAAGCGCTACGCCGACGCTAAGCGAATTCCTGGACCGGACTTCAAGCCCGGCGACCACGTCTTGCTCCTCTGCAAAAACCTCTAGACAACCCGGCCCTCTCAGAAACTCGACCATCGCAAGATTGGGCCATTTCCCATTGTTGAATAGATCAATCCAGTCGCCTACTGGCTCAAGCTCCCGCCTACGTACAAACTCCACGATGTCTTCCATGTCGCGCTCCTCGAACCCCGCTTCACCATCCCCAAACGACACGAACCCGAACCCGCGGCCCCAGAGACCGTTGAGGGTCAAGAAGAGTGGGTTGTCAAAGCCATCCTTGACTCTCGCATCCATCGTCGTCGCCTTCAGTACTTGGTCAAATGGCAGGGCTGGCCTGACTCTGAGAACACCTGGGAGCCCGTGGAACACCTCACCCATACCGACGCACTCCTCCAGGACTTCCACAGCGCGTACCCCAACAAGCCTTCCTCTGTCCCCGTAGCACCTCCTCTGCGGCCACACCAAACTCGACGCCGCCGCCGCCGCCGCTAAAGAGAGGGGTGATGTTATGGACGACGAGCCCATACCATAAGCTTACCTACTGACAGCCGCCAATGTCAACCGCCAAATGTCAAACGCCAATGTCAATGTCAATGTCAGTGTCAATGTCAGTGTCAATGTCAATGTCAATGTCAGTGTCAATGTCAATGTCAATGCCACTCCCCCTCTCTCCTCTCATTTCGCCAATTCTCTTGCAATATCGCCACTCCTCCTCTCTCCTCTCATTTCGCCAATCCCCCCTCGGCTTCTCCACACCCCCCACTACTTCCCCATAGCCAGCAGCTGTAGCAATGCTCTCTACGCTCGCCACGCACGCTCTAGGAGCATAGCTGGCGCCCCCCCAGTCCCCTCTTGTTGTTGCTGTTCTCTGATCTGCTGAGTTGCCTATCTATAAATAGCCGGCCTCTCTTCGTCCATTCCCTTCCTCCCCAGCAGATCAACACCAGTTCTTCTCATCTCCTGTTCTAGTCCTTGTTTCTTGTTTCGCCAATACAATCTCTTGTCGCCTATCACACTTGCCCTGTCTTCTCTGCTTCGCTTCCGCCCCGTCGTCGAGATCATAACACATTGCTTTTCGCCCAAAACACAGGATTAGTGTCGCCTCCAACAGTTCAATCGGGAGAGCAGTCTCTTCATTGTGCAGAAGCGCCGAGGGGCAGGTAAGCCTCGAGTGGCGGTATGCATAAGGGGTCTGAAGAAGATGCGATGAGCAGGGTTCACCATACATGAAAGGTAACACCTTGTCGGCCAGCCAATCAATCCTACGGTCAACCCTTGCGTCTCGATCGTCCTGCGAAATACCAGACAGATCAAGTGCTTCAAAGAATTCTCGAAGAACATTGCAAAACTCAGCTTCCGCCGCATATCCTGTTGTTTCCAGAATATCTGCAACCTGCTTGCAAAACCCGGTCTTTGCATCAGCGACACACTGATCGTCACGCTTATACCACCAAGTTCCAAACACCCTGTCGTGTTCAGGCATTCCCGCAATGCTCAGCCAGGCTTCTTTCCTCAAGTGGGCTCCGCACCTGGATGTCGTAACATGTTTGATAAATTGCTTCATGACGTGATCCAGGTCGATGGAAATGATCAAAGGAAGGTCTCGGTTACAAGGGTTCCTTTCAGGCACATAAGGGGAAGGAAAGAAATCGTTGCCAGCCCTCCTCCTCTCGGCCAATCGCCTTTCCACCCGGATACGTGTGAGCCATTCTCGTAATGGCGACATGGATGTGCGATTTGTGTTTGCTGCCACAATAAGCGCCAAGATCGTGAAAGTTTGTGCAAGGTTAACAGGATGTCCCCGCTGGCCTGGCAAAAATGCTGACATGTTGAACTGTCATTCCTGTTGTGTCAGTGCCCAGATCTCAACAATCTCCAGAAGGTTTCGCAACTCAGGGATGCCGACCAAGTCTATGCGTCCAAAAACATGTAGAGTTTCAAGTAGCGTTGCAAAGAATGGGGCACCCTCACTGCGATAGTTTCTCAGCAGTGTTCCAAACCCGCAGGTAGATGTGGAACAAATCGTGTGCCGATTCCGTAGGGCATGCCATCCCACTGTTGAGCACGGGATTGCAGAATATATCATGGGCCTCTTCCTTCAGACACTCCACGATCTCGGCTTCTTCCTGCCCTCTTTCACAACCGCATCCAGCTCGGCGCGCCAAATCTAAACACGACACGATGAGTTACTGTTCATTATTGGAGTTGCAGAAGCAAACCTACCGCATTAATAAATTTCGGCTGGTCAAGCCCCGTGTTGCAAGAGAATGACTTGCCCCATCGCACAACACAGAGATAACAGGAATTGAGCGCTTCTGGAATTCCTCGAGCAGAACTCGAAGAATTGCGGTATTCTGCTGATGGTTTGGTGCTTCCACAAAGCAGGCAAAGACAATCTGTGATTTCAAACGCTGGGAGTTGGCGAAGGTCCAAAGCTGTAATTTCTTTGCCCTCGGCAAAAGATGCAGCCGTTGCAGCAAGGAAGTACTCTAGCGCATTCCGACATAGGCTGACTAATTCGTCTTTGTGTTGCAGTAACAGCCATGTGGACGGCAGAAGGTCGAGGGGGTTGTCGGTAACGTCGGGGGGTTGCGCCAGCTTCAACTGCCAATTTGCGCATTCGGTAAGAATTTTTCCACGGCGGTGCAAAGATGTTTGTTTTTTGACCGCATCACTTTCGTAGGCTGCTAACACAGGCGGGCGCTGACTGGAAGGTGCAGTGAGCAATGTCCCTGCTTCAAAAGCAATCGCACGAGTCTCGATCTCGCGTCGTTTTGTGGTTACCCGTTTCTCCGCTCCGACTGCGTACACAGTTAGCTGCGCTGGAAGGGCGACGAGATTGCTTTCACATTCCGGCAGCCAGTGGGTAAATTGAACCGTCAAACGTGGGCCCCATGTGTATTCAAAGTCTCGTGCGTCGTTCATTTGTGCATGCACAACTGTGTGCTCAACTCGAATGCGTTGAGGGCTTGTTCAACCTGCGGTGCAGAAATCAGGGTGCGCCGACATGAGTTGAAATGTGCACAGAGACAATACCGTTGCCACATCCTACAGTCCCAGAATGCTCTCAGTCAGTCCGGGGCCAAGGTCGACAGGTCCCGTCAGCCGTCCTTTGCTTCCACGTTGAACAGTCGAGATTCTGTAATCGGTTTCATCAACCCCAATGCCGCCGGCCAGGTAGCGCAATCCGAGACTTTCCTGCAGCCGAGCGTGTTGTGCACAAATCACGTCTATGCGCTCCGATCCAATCCAACAAGCTGCACACCCACATCTGCTCGAAGCTTCTGCTGAGCACGCTGTGATGGGAGAACCAGGTTTCCGTCTTATTCGCATGGCTTCCGCGGCCCACTGCGCCCAACTCCTGCCCATCCTTTGCCGACGAGAAACTCGTAAGCCCGACCGCCAAAGCGGGTCTCAATTCAAACCAGAACTCAGCAACACGAGAAGAGAAGATGCTGCATCTCCGCCCACGGTAGTCCTTCACCGTAAAGAACTGTAACTGTATCGGATAGCGTGGTAGGTGTCAGTGATGGCAATTGTGACAATGGCAAGATTGGTAGGCAAAATAAAAGGCAAATGGGCGAGCACGACGCACACATACCTGACTCGCGATGAATTCCCAGAGCCAGTGAGTGGGCCTCAGGCATCCTGAAACTACAGCCCGCATCACCATCAGAGCAATGTCAATCACCTCCATATCCTCAAGGTCGGTGAGCTTGTGGTACTCAGTGTAGAGCTTTGCTGCTCGATACACATGTTTGTTCTCCTTTTCAAAGATGAAGGCACCTTCTTGTCGTTGGCCAGGACTCGCTTGGTAGGCAGTGCTCCTTTTGCCAGAAACTGATCGTGGGTGAGACTCCCATTCCAACCTCGGAAACCCATGAGGCCAGTCTGCAGAAGATCTCCTTGCATGGCTCTGTTCTTGTCGACCAGGCATTCAACTCTCTGCTTTTCTCCTCATGTTCCCCCTGCAGTTTGGTGTAAGGTTGTTTGCAGTTTGGTAAAGTCGTTTCCAAGTTTGGTATGTTCGGATTGGAGTTGGTGTGCCTCGTGACGAGGTGGGCAAGGAAGCCTGCAAGAAGATCCCATTCAGTTTCCAGGTGTCCTTGGACTCATTGGGATCTAGTGCATACCTCCAGAAGGATGTCCAGCTGTCCCAATGTTCTCCGAACCACTCCAAATGTTCTTCGAACCACTCCCGATGGTGTCCGAAACCACTCTCCATGTCATCGGCTGGGTCGTCCTCTCTACCTTCAGCTGATTCACCAATTGAACTCGGAAGGCAAAGAAGTGCAGTACTGACACGACCCTGAGCTAAAATGGAGCGAATAACAGCTTTCCCATGCATTATAAGGACCTCCTTGATTCCATCGGCCGAACATAAGGTTTTCAATGTGCTCTGTGTCTCCCCATAGCACATTGCTTTTACGAACATCGTGGGCCCTTTCTCACATCGGACCCGAAGCTTCGGGACTCCCAGGGCTTCTAACAGACTGCTGGGATCGTACAGTCTGCAACAGGGATCGTAGATGGGATGACTTGTGAAGTGAACGAGGTTCGGATATAGTTTACCTGCAGCTATCCTTGCTTGCTGTCCTCATCTCCGGAATGAAAACACCCCCATGGAAGGAGACTGCAGGGCCACCAAGACCCCTTGCTGTTTGGAAGTACTTGGGGTTCATTGGTTGGATTGGGCTATATTGAGAACCAAGTTATGTATAGGGTTTGAAGGTCGTTCGGACTTCATATCGCCAAATGTGCGATACTTGTCGGACTCGCCGACACGCGCGTCGTCACTAGTGCAGGCTCATGTGATCTGCTGCCCAAATTGGGCAGCAGCTCGCACATTTTGGCATTTTGAAATGCTTTTACACCACCCTGGACGGAGGGCCAAAAGGCGCAATTTCAAAGCGACCTCAGCTCCAGATACATTTTCAACTTCTCTTGCTCCAAGTGGTAAATCCTTGAAAAGGGCCCAGCATCCGTGCACTTTCCCTGACTTTCTCCTCCCATCAGCGAAACCGTCGACCGCGAAATAAGTGAGAAGGAGCTCGTGCCTGGGTCGACCAAATGAGAGTCCCACCTACGATTCCCACAACACTGCTCCCTCGTTTGGCTCAGACGCCGAACGGAGGCAAAAGCGCCGGCGGACGTCAACGAATACATCCAACTGCCGATATGCTAACCCAAAGCTTATCCACTCCAGAAGGAGGACCGGCCGTCCTCGCGGATGATGCATCCGCCCCTTCGAACAGCGAACGACATTCGCTGAACGAGCTTCCTCGAGAACTCCTGCTGTGCGTCTTCCAGTTTATACCTCTGACGAACCTCCTTCGCTTGAGAGGAGTCTGCCGTCTCTGGTGGACCGACGTGCTTCATATGGTGGCATTGCGTTTAAGAACCGCTGTAGAACCTCAAGTACCGACACCGGAGCAAAAGTCCGTGCCAAAGACGGAACTTATTGTCGTACGCGCTTTGACGGACGGTGATTGGTACAAGGAGAACTTACGCAGCGCTGCATTGAGCTGCTTGAAGGTGCAGGGATCGCTACGTGTTTTCGAGCAACCTGACCGTGACGACAGCAGGGTTTCGTCGGTCTCCGGAATGCAGTCTGTGCGCTTTGTCTTCAAACCAGTTGAAGACTCGAAGCAATGGCCTTTACTAGGCTACTATACGAACGGCGAAGGACAGATCGGGCTGGAGATCAATGGCTGGACATTCACATTGGCCGACTCCGTGATAGGCTCCCTGTCGTCAAAGCGCGTTTCACATCGCGACAACGACATCTCATTGAGCTACTCGGTACAAGGGCGACCGGATATCACTCCGGACACTGCCGAAGCCAAAGGGATTCCGATGTGGTGGCCCAGACGGGGAGTCTGGGGCATGCCATCAGAGTGCTACTTCCGTGAGATACGGGTCGATGAGTTCTCGATGACCGTCGAGTTTTTGATGAAGCTGCTGCCTGGGTGTGGGACGGCGCTGCTCGAGCAAACCGAAGCGCCATCGACCGGTCGACGAGCAGTGCGTGAAGATTGATGGCGGCGTTATTGCATAGGCATTATCCTCCAGTCTTCGGTCCGCCGTAGTTCACCAGTCGTGGATGCTACCTTGTAAGATGTATACCTTTCATTGAATAGCAAGCTTTTCTGAAGGCTACGATTGTTTTGCCTCCGTGCACTTGCTTTTTTGTGGAACATGCTTTGCCGGCCAAACCGCAGATGGAGGCGAATCGCAGACGATGACGATGTAGACGCAATCATGGTGAACTTCGATGGACCCGATTTTGAAGGCGAGGCCAACGAGGACTTCGGAGCAGATCGAACCCGCACGTCGCTTGAAAAGTGAATGACGAAGAGCACAACGGATTGCGTGGGAGTGGCGATGTCTCGATTCTTGCACATCCCGCTTTCACTGAGAAATCCTGAGGATATTGAGGTTGGCGACGGACAAGAATGAAAGCTAAACCAAGGAGAGGCCTGCACTGAGGGTCGGGCGGAGGCGGTTACAGCTTGCCCGGAATGTCTTTCACTAGCCGGTCAACACCACTCGAAGGGATTCACGCTAGGTAACAACTTGAACAAGGACCCAGTTCATCAGACTTTGACCATGTCGGCGTACAATCATAATAGTTGCGATCAATACGCTTCCAAAATTTGAGCTCCAAGCATCACGACGCGAAACGTCCAGCCCTTTTTCATTCGTCGTGAACACCAAGGTATTCTCCCCTCCATCGATCCTTGACAGCACTATCCCTTGCACGCCTCTGTCTAGACCAGGAGCCACGTCGCCTGTTCCGAAGGCTTTGCCGGTCCGGATCGCGGATAAGATCGTCAAGTCCGCCTTGATCTTGGTGCTCACCGCCCTTTGCGGGATCCTTGACGGGTGCTTCGCGTTTTTGCGGCGTCGATCTTCTCGATCCTGTTTGTATCGGCAGAAATTCATTTAACTCCCGCCAA